CCGCTCAGCGGCCCACGCGCTGCGGCAGGCGGGGCCCGCCGCGCTTACCACGAGCCCGAGCGTCCGTGTCTGGTCTGTGACCCGCATCGGGTCCTCGGGATCTGGGGGTGGCGGCACGAGGTTGGGGCCGAAGCAGCTGAGCCGCTCGGCTGATGGACCCTGTGATGCCGCGCCACCCGACAGCAAGGCATAGGCCGGGTTGGGGGCGCCCCCTTTGCCCCGCCCCCCTGGCTCGCCGCCGCCACCCCAGCCGCGCTTGGGCGCGCGGGGGCGGGGGCGCGGCCGCCGGCGCGAGGCGGGCGTGACGTGGGGCGCCGCAGGCCGCGCCGGGCCCCGCACCTCTCAAGTACTCCACTGCGTCGTCTAGCACCACGTTCAGCAGCTGGTCGTAGCCCTTTAGGATTCCAGAAACTGGGAGCCGGGGTGGCAAGGCGCGGCAGGCAGCAGCAGCAGTGCAGTCAGCAGGGCTGAGAGCCCCGGTGCCCTCACTGCGGAACTCGAGGCGGCAGCGGCACATCTACTGCCGAGGCTGCTTTGTGCGGGTCCCCGCACTCACCTTCGCGGCCACCGGCTAGCTTGACGCGCACGCCCTTATCAATGAATCGTGCGAGGTCGAGCGCGCTCTCCTTCTTGCCCGCCATTGCCGCCGCTGCGCGCCGCTGCTGCTGCTATCGGAGCCGTGGGCGCCAGTGGTGCAGTGCGGATGCTGAGTACAGGGCGCTGTTCGAGTAACTTCGGGAGCTGTGTCTTACGGTGTAGATTATAGTTACGAGGTGGTTCAAACCTGTTCGGCCGAGATCGAACGCGGCAGCAGATCAGGAGGAGACGACTTGTAGTTGAAATGCAGAGCAAATGATACCATTGAGCCGGAACAGGGGGGTGTGATCTTTCTTACGGCATCGCACATCACGCAGTGTTCGTTGGTTGCGCGCTGCCATGCCGGAATTTCGCCGCGCCGTCACCTGCCCGCTCGTGGTCTGATGGTCTGTGGCAAGGCAAGGCAGGTGCAGGCGCGTGGGCTGGCTGCTCAAAATTTCACCGTAAGTGCAGACAAATATGGGCTGACGACTACGTGCCTAGGCTGCCCGTGTGCACACGCCCACCTTGAACGTCAGCCCTGATCGGCTTGTAAAGATGTCACCTTTGCAGTGTCGCTGTCATGGTGACGAGCGTGGCTGGCGAGTGCTGGCAAGCCGAAGCAGCCCGAGCTGGGCAGCCCTAAAGGGCTAGGTGGGTGGCGGGGTGGCGCAAGCTCCGCGCCACCGGCCGTGAGCAAATCCACCTGGCAGCTGGCCAACCTCCCAACCGACAGGAGGACCCACTTTGGAGCGACCACGTATTGGGGACGCAAAACTCCCCTTTTCTACGGTGACGCGGGTTCGACTGCACGTGCTGCGCTATGACATGCGGCCTGCTGCTGGCCGCCACCCCTCTCAGGCTCCGGTCCATCATCAAGGAGCCCGCCATCGCGAGAAGCTTCCCCGCGTCTCGCCGCGGCCCACCTCAACAGATATCCACTGCAGTCGGCTGTGATGCAGGCCCCAGCACCGGTGCAGGAACACCTATCAGTCCGTTTATTCAGGCGCCTCTGCTTGTCGGTTCTTATCGCCGTGCTGACGGTGTGCTGTGGGCGCACGTCGATGTGCACGCAGAGGCTGACGGACTCGCCGTGCCGTCGAGGCATCAACACTTCCAGCAAGCGCGGGCAGCCAAACGCGGCTGCCGTTCGCGTGTCAAGTCCGCTCACCCCGCTGCTTCCTTCGCAGACGAATGCGCGTCGATAAGCGACCGCTTACATCAGCTTGCGTCGTGCGCGTGGATGATGTGGGGCTGGAAGGGCGTGCTGTGGCGCGCCGGCATGGCATGTGCCAGCGTGCGGTGCTGGGGGCACGTGGCCGGATCAGAGCAGGACCGAGTGAGCCCAGCCCGCCTGCAGCAAAATATCAGGCACAGGGATCCATGCCGCGCGCGTGCGGGCGGCGCTTGCATGCACGGGCGAGAGCGACCTCCAGTCCGGCCGCGGCGGCCGGCCGCGTGCAAGTCTGAGGCGGGCGCGCGCGCACAGGCGCGTGCTGCCAGCCGAGGGCCCTATGCGGAGGCCCGCCCACAGGGGCGAAAAGGGCTGCAGGCTGCGGCTCCTGAAACGAGCCCGCCTCGGCCTGGGTGTTGTGGATGATGAGATGCATTTTGTCGGGCCCGCTTCCCCTCTGGGCAGTTGGCGGGTGCGGCGGCGAGGCGAGAGCTAGGTGGTGCGCATGAAAGGGTGGTGGAGGTTGGTGAGGGGCGTGCGGCCAAAACGCGGCACCAGCTCGAGCGGTTGGGTGGCTCGGCCACAGCGCCGCTGACACATGCGCTGCGCCGGCCGACCCGTGGTCCCGCAGGGCGGTCATGCCTGCGCCGCCCGCCGCCGCCCGCTAAGCCCCCGCGCCATTGAATAATGCAAGCATATCGGCACAAGTCTGCCGGCCGCCGTCAGCCGTTCTGCCCGCACGCGCGCACGCGTGCGGCCAGACATGCAAAGCGACACACAGGCGGGGCCGAGGCGCGCGCCCCGCGCC